AGTCCTGATCCTACTACCCCTTGCATGTGTAAATAACTTTATTCACTGAAATATTCTCAGTTACTTCAAAGAGTAATCTTATGCACCTCCTGCAAATTAAGGACAGGTTCTGGCTCTTATTTGGGGAGCAAAATGACTGAGGGATAGCCACTAAAGCTTAGCTGCTATGAGAAAAACATTGGCTCCAGTGTAGTGGACTCATGGAAAGAGGTGAGCAGAATGTTGAGAATCTAGCCATGGAACATTGAACACACTGACACTTTAAATATTAAAAGAGTTACTTTGGTGACATGCTGAAAAATGACTTTACATTGACTGTTGCATAGGGTTTACCTACTAATCTATGAAAGTTTTTTGTTTGAACTTCCGAATTAGCAGCTACAGAAGGAACTAAATCACATGAAAGGTATAAAAAAACCTGAATGATTTTGATCTTCCCGCTGTGCTCCAAAGCCAGGATCACATGCCGACTCTCGCTAGCCCTCAGATAAACTAGCTGCAGCAGCCACTGTTCATCATCTTTGCTGTCATTTGCAATGGGCAGATCTTTAATTTCCTGCCCACTTCCAAAATCCCATATTTTCAACGTTCCTGACACGAAGTGAGGGCAAGAAACACAAAGACAAAAACTGTTAAACACAAAATGTGTATTTTCAAGTCAGAAACTTGACATGTCCCAAACAAAGAAAACACAGCTGCATTGCATTTCCCATTTCTACAGGTCTGATATTTGGTAATTGAATACTGATTCACAGAATCATGTAGTTGGGATACATAGTATTTGTGAAATTAGTCTCCCTGTAATGGAAGGTTGGCAGGAAGAGTGTATATGCATATTCCTAACAAATATTGCATCACCCAATTGCAGAAAAGATTGGTGTGATTTCCCTGCCTCGGTTGGACTCTCTCTTTTCCTAGATATTACTCACATATTTCATGCTAGGAATGACTTATCCTGGGGTTCAAAAACCTCTTTCCTTCAATTTCTCACATGTGTTGGCCGAGTTATTTCAAGGTCAAGTGTAAGCGCTTTAAGTCAGGGACTTTATTTGCATTTGTACAATATGCCCCAGACCCGCATTAAGGTCTTTGTAAAAGCATCAACCACCACCAGATAGATATTTTTCTGATAGATCCTCAGGGGCAAGACAGTCTGCCTACAGGGTCTGTTCACATCAGATAATGTAAATTCAAACCTGTGCTCTTCGAGCAATGCATTTAATTGATTCCATGCGTACAAAGGTTTCCAATGACACACTGGTCTAAAACCTATTGACGTCAATGAGGGTGTAAAGTCTGATTGCCAAGCAATGTTGCCCACTTGCTTAATTATGGGTGTGAAAATTCATTTTGGCCTAAATGAGAGAACAATGGAACAAATTCTCCTGTCCTTTGGTCCCTTATCTCAATGAGTACTGTTAGATACAGTATCGGATTTTTCCATCACACCACCATTCAATCCTTCTCCATACCTGTTCTGCATTTCCTCCTTCTGTGCCAAGCCCACAAAAGGGCAGAAAAGGAGCCAGCAAAGCAGAGAGCCCAGCAAGGTTCTGAGGAACATGGCTAACCACCATCCTTTCTCTCAGATCGAGGAGTCAGAAAAAGAGGCTGAGGCACTCTCCAGAGTAACAGCTACCTCATAGGGTTATCCCTGTCAGGGTAAGCAGCAGCTCCTCATGACAACAGCTTTTTCTTTCCAAGTAGCCACTGTGGGCAAAGTCTCTCTGCTCAATGGCAGAAATAGAGGGCAGTATGCTCAGGAGGAATTAATCTGGCCTGCATGGCATGATAGAGGCCATGTCTTCTTCACAAGGCATCCTGGAATATCCTTTTTTTACTGGGTGCTGCATTTCTAAACATTTCAATAAACCCTGACGTTTGAGAATTATGCAGCCATGATAACTGATTAATTAATTATTAAAGTTTATTGAAGAATTCAGTGCAAGTCTGGTAAATATACTGGGGGGCTATATATATATATATTATATAGTTTAGTGTTCAGAGTCAGCAAATCCTACAGAGCTGAGATCCACTTTCCATTTTAACTACTTTTCTCCAGTTGCTCAGTTTTCTTATTAAAATG